TATATATATATATATACTACTATATATATATATATATATATATATATATATATATAATATACATACATATACAGTACACACACACACATATATATATGTATATGTATATACAAGACGAAAAGTAAACAAAATATAATGTATTGATCTCTACTGAAAATTTTCACGAGTCGAGTTTTAATCAAAATTTAGGTAAAAAACGTGTATGCCGATTATTTTACAGTGCAGCTTTTTAATAGCGAAAACCACATGAAGCGCTGACACCTTGAGGTCAAATCTGAGTTTTGACTCTCAATCTTTTTTTTTAATTTCCAGCACGAGTTCTTTCACCTGAGTAGTGATGATCTGACTGAATTTCGTTGAAGTTAGGCTCTAAAGGTGTTGTGTGTATATGCATTCGTTGTGCCCCCCAGTGGTACAGCGGTATGTCTGCGGACTTACAACGCTAGAATCTAGGTTTCGATACCCGTGGTGGGCAGAGCACAGATAGCCCATTGTGTAGCTTTGTGCTTAATTTACAAACAAACAAACATTTGTTGCAGTTGGCCCATGCTATTTGCTTTGATTTGCTAACTGATGTCACGTGATTAAAGCCAAGATATTGATCTTGTGTGTGTATATATATATATATACATTGCGAATCATGGTGGCTGTCTCCCGTTTGTGGCGGCCGCTTCCCGTGCTGTGTTTGAAAAGCTGTGCACGCAGGCAAAGCTCAACATTCACTTTTGAAATGACGGGAGAACAGACATGAATAACGTTGATGTCAAGTTTTATTTTACAAGCAGGATATTCTATACTAAATTGTTAGGAATTAATCACACTATCATACACATTTGAAAATGTGACGTAACTTAATAAAACGTAGATCTACAGTATGTTAATGTGGAGCGACTCTTAGCATGACTGAAATGCTCAACAATTACTTGTTGCGGTGGACGGTATAAGTAGCTCAGAGCTTTGGCTCTGAGTGAAACCAAGAGTACAACACAATTAACCTTTTTAAAATTCATGAAATAATTTAAATTGGTAGATTAACTTAAACATTTCCCGTCACTGGGGACGGGTAATTTTGCTTGTTCGTTAATAAACTCACATCAGTAATGTCATGTGTTGTATTCATATGTGTTGTATATCCCTTAGTGGGTCAGCGGTACGTTTATGGACTTACAGCTTTAAAATCTGGGGTTCGATTTCTCACGGTAAACAAAGCGCAAATAGCCATTGTGTAGCTTTGATCTAATAACAACAGTAATCTGTGATTGGACTGAACTGGTGTTACCTGTTCGTAAATATAATTTTAATTGTATATTATACAACGCTGATCGTTGAGTATTTTAATATAATTTAAATATATAAACTAAGTTTCCCTGATTTTTATCCATTAATACCGATAATAAGAACTTTCTACAAAGAGAACCAACAAAGAAATCCCCTCGATTCACCTACAAAATGGATAATTATCTACATGTTTACAGTAAAGTATGTCTGAATCACGTGAATGTATATATTAAGAGCTGAAGAGAAGTCAGCAATGAAGTCAAAAGCAATGCTTAAGACAAAACATTTTTATGTACAGGGGTTGAGTGCTTCATAATCTACATATTCCATGAGAAGCTAAGCTTGTAAACAAAGTATCTCTTGCATCATGAATGTTCATTAATGTTAATACTTTATTTCCGTTTTGTGTTATTTTATATAAATGTGTAAATATGTCTTCTCTACTATTCTATTTGTTCAGACTATGAATCCGAGGTTTCTTAGTTCGCGTCTCATTAATCTAACATCACGCTCCGTACTTTAGGACCGTGGGTGCGATATAAGGGTGACAGTCAGATAAAAGTAGTCCAAGGGTTGGTGGTGGGTGTTCTCGAAAAGCTACACAATGATAATATATGCTAGCCGTCCCTAATTGGAAAATTTGTTTGTTTGTTTGTAATTAAGCACAAAGCTACACAATGGGCTATCTGTGCTCTGCCCACTACAGGTATCGAAACCCGGATTCTAGCGTTGTAAGTCCGCAGACATACCACTGTGCCACTGGGGGCAACTGGAAAGTAGTGGAGTAGAGGAAAAGCAGCGAGTCAACAAAATTCTAAAATAAACCACTACTGCCAATAATAAAATTCATGTTCGTTTTATTTCACATATTATATATCTGTTTGATGGCGTCTCGTGTGTACGTAATTATCTTCAAACATTTCGCTCTTGTACGTTGCTGTTAGTAGAATAAATGTATTCCGAAACGTTCGTCACTTCGTTTTTGAACATCGTTGTGATAGAATATGCATTTGTAAACAGGAGTACCCAAACTGGGGGACACAGGAAAATGTCGGGGGGGGGGACTTTATTAAATATACAAAGTACTCAGTATCCGTAAGTTCATTGGGTGGGTGTGGGGGCTCAGTCAGGATACAGAATGTTCTGGAGACCTTGTGCTGAGAAAGTTTAAGAATCCCTGTTCTAAAACATTTTTCACTTTGCTTTCGTACATCGCTGTTGATAGAATAAGAGTATTCCGAAACGTTTGGCACCTCGCTTTCGTACGTTGCTGTTGGTAGAACAAATGCGTTCCGAAACATTCGCTTTTGATAGACTAAATGTATTTAGAAACTTTCGCTGTTGCTAGAACAATAATATTTCGAAACATTCGTCACCTCGCTTTCGTACATCGCTATTGTTAGAATAAATGTATTCCGAAACGTTCGTAACCCGTATATTGAAACGTGTTCCGTCCTGACTGTAATTCACGCTCCTCCTCCAAGAATCTTCAGCCAGAGATTTTTTATAGATGGAAGAGAACATTGTAAAACTTGAGTAAACCTGACTTGACACTAAAAGTAGTCTTAGTTGACTTAAAGGATTTATAGTTAGTCCTATGATGTCAGCTGGGCCTGAAGGATCAAATAAAGCTCCAAATGCTACAATAAAACTTCGCTACTTGTAATCAAAACATCACTTGACTGGCAGAACGGAAAGCCAACTGTAGGAAATGATACGAGAGAGAGACTTGTGTCTTAAGCTGTGCCTTATCATCAGCCCCTAAAATACTAAATCCGGGATATGCTCTCTCTACACCGATTTTGTGTGTGTGTGTGTGTCTGTGTGTGCTTTTTATATAAAAAAAACTTAACGTCACTTTGGCTCATTTTAAAAGGAGAGAATTTTTAAAAAGCGAAAGCAAACATAACAAAAAATGAAGTTAAATGTACCATATTTTAGAGTGGTAAAAAAATGGTAAATGTAGGACGTTTTACAATACTTTTTTAATTAAGTTAAATATAAGACATTTTACGTTTTTCAAGTAGACAAAAAGGCAAATGTTGTAGTCCAACTGCTCTATCCTCCCCCCACCCCAGTTTTTAGGAGGTCAGGAATACGCTATACAATAGCATTCTGAGAATATTTTTGATTGATGTAAGGAAAAGCGCCAGTGATTTCCTCGAAAGGGGGCCTAAGGCCGCTTGGAGGATTCACCTCTCGCACCACAATACAGTAGTGTGTTGTTTGTTAGTCAGTCAGTAGACAGCAAAATGACGTCACATAAGGGACGTTCAACGTTGCAATTTGTCCTATCGTAACGTCAGTAAAACGTACACATGCCATGAATCACGAGAAGAATTATGCACTCAGTAGGCTACAACACAGTATGACATATGAACTTCAAAAGCAAGAAATAAATATATTTGTTACTCTTAATTTTGGTGTTATTTACTCTTGAAACAGAACACTTTCGGGGACCCTGCGCAGGTACATCTTGTGTATACAATATCTTGTACAAAATCGTCGAGCAATGAAAAATGTAACAACTTGTGTATGCCCATATGAGAATAATCTATTCCAGAAAACGAAGCG